AATGCTGTGCCATTCTCTACATTTGAACGCATTTCGACTCCAACCGGTTCCATCTTTGAGGTCCGTCTTGTCAGATTGGGCTGTTTTGTTTAGAATTGCCGTGTGCAGAATGAATCGAATGCTGTGTTATGGGCTGCGTGCAGATTAATCCCCAACAGAGTAAGGGCTGTGTGTCCAGAATCAGGCAGTGGGTCGCTTGGGTTATTTTGCTGTTGGCTGTTTAAGTTATCTGATTATCACAGTGCAAGTGTTTAATTTTCAGACAACCAATCAATTCCATTTACATTGAGGTGTAACATGATGAGATGCGATGCAATGCATGAAATGTGTAACTATAAACACTTTTTCAGATAAAAAGTCCATTTCATTTCATTATCTTTTCAAACGTACAAGTTTTGGAAACAAAAATCTGCCTGCGGCAGTACAAGGTAATCTATCTACCAATAAAAAGAAAAGTAAAAAAAAAAAAGAAGAAGATAGCAAAAATCTGCATCTGTGTCGAGTACTCCAAGGGCTATCAGTCCGTCCTGGTCCTCTTCCTGGACGAAGGTCCAGGAGCATCGTCAGCGTCGTCGTCAGAGCCCGAGCTAGAACCGTCTCCGGTCTCCTCCTCCGATGACCCTGCCTCCGCCTCTGACTCCTCGTCGTCGTCGTCGTCCGGAACTGGAGCTCGCGAGCTACTCCCGACGTGAGTACGCCCTCCCCTGGTACGGGGAAATATCCTACCCTCCTCATCTCTCCCCCGAGCAGGGACAGCAGGTCTAGCTGGAGCACCTCCCGCCATGGGAATCTGAAAAGGAGGCTGAAAAGGTACACAAAAGGGAAATGCATCAGTATACTGTAGACAGTTTATCAGTGTAGAATGTAATGCAGAGTACAGCATATGAATGCCGTGGGCAGTTTATCAGTGCAGAATGCAGTGTGTGAGGACAGTGCACGAATGCCGTGAGCAGTTTATCAGTACAGAGTACGGTGCAGAATGCAGTGTATGCAGTGTGTCAGATACTGTGAGATCAGTGGATCGGGTGTTGTGCCGTGCATCAGATTATGCAAGGCAGTGTATGAATGGTTTGAGGCCAGTGTCAGAAGGACATACCGGTATGCTGTAAACGGCTAGAAGGTCAAATGTCCGCTGGAGCATCCCCATCATCGAGGCATTCATCGCCAACGACTGACGGGTGTACTCAGAAGAAGCCTGCAAAGGTATCAGATGCATTAGTATTCTGTGGAATATCAAGTAAACTGAAATGAAATAACTGTATGAAGTGCAGTGATACATACCGGAGGTAGATCGGGGACATCGATGACCTCGTGACCAGCCGGTGGAGGGGCGAAGGGAATCTGATAGGTCGACCCACCCTGCCCCTGGAAAGTCAGTACAGCGGGCAGGGCAGGCCAGCCAGCTCCCCGTCCTCCCTGCACTCTACCCCTACCATGGACTCGGGCCCTCCTCGAAGATCCAGCCCCTGCTCCCGCTCCGGCCCCAGCCACCGATGCTACAGGCCTAGCTCCCTCTACTCGACGGCCGCTCAAGGGACGGATCAGATACGTCCGTACGTACTCCTGATAGTCGCCGGTGCCTCGGAAGCCGGCCTCCTCCCAGCCGATGGAGTAATCATCCAGCTGCTCAGGGGTCAGACCCTCGGTCTCCCTCATCTCTGCAGGAGGATGAACCGGGACTATCTGCTCAGGTAACCCAAGGGTCTGGCGTAGAAAACGCTCCCCCAGGTACCAAGCCCGACAGACCGGGCCCTCTAGCAAGATCCGGAAACGCGAGGTCTCCTCTGCACTAGGGAACCGACCCCGCATCGCCGACGGCAAGGAAGCCCATGGCCGTCATGTGATCTGAAAGTGACAGACAGTTTGTTATCTACTGTTATTGAAATATGCAGTGGGAAAGCGAAGCTAAATACACTGAAAATAAAACATACCTCGGCCGGGGTGATGGTGTCAAAATATCGGCGGAAGAAGCCGAATGTCTCCCGTGGTCGCCGGGTGCATCTCCCGTCGAAGCGACTCGAGAACGGGATAATCGGAGGAGGCTCCGCGACTGGTACGGGTGCAAGCCTAGGGAAGTAGGCGTAAACCCACAGCTGCAAAATAGATGTCAATATGACTATCAGAAAAAGCAGAATATACCGAATAAAGCAGAAATGGCAGAGCCGTGTGTTGTGCAGTGTATTGTGTGCAGTGTACAGTGTGAGCAGTGTACAATCAGCGTGAAGCAGAATGTATGTGTGTGCCGTGTGTACAGTATACAGTGAGTGTAAAGCAGACCGCAGTGTGTGCAGTGTACAGAGTACAGAAAGTACGAGACAGGAATGAAAAAAAGCTGAGCAGAAATGTCCCCCCCAAGCCCGCCAGTAACCCACAACATCTATTTCAGCTTTTGTGGCTTGCAAGGAACTATTAAACCATTAGATAAACCATGTAATAGTGAAGATCTGGATCCATTTTTTACACTTTGAGAGCCATGTGTAAATAACTACTTATATAGAGAAGGTTGCCGCAATAATGCACACATGATCTATGGCATAATTATCGTTGAATCATTAACAGCTAACTCAATCTTGCGCACCTTACTTGCACTTGTTAGTGCATTGTATTTTCTTCGCGCTATTTTGCGCATCGCACTGTTTTGACCTGAGCGGCGGTCCACTCATCCATGTCGGTGTCGAAGGGGATCGGATCCCCCCCTACCCCGATGCCTGTGAGCATCGAGAAGTCATAAGGGGTCATCGTCATATCCCCCGCAGCAGAAAAGTGGAAAGAATCGGTGGTGTCCCACCACCTCTCCGCCAGAGCGGCGAGAAGAGGTCTGCATGTGGAGAGCCTAGAGAGCCCTCGGCAGAAGGTGCCGAAACCCGCTCGGTCCATGATGCGTTGGACCGCATCAGGGAGCTCATCATACCACTCCCGCGCACCAGTATTCCCATACCCGCGAATGGTATGGGAACCCTCCTGTAAATCGAAAATAACAATTGCAAGACAACATTCAAAATGCAGTTTTGAAAAAGCAGATATGGCATGTATGCAAGTT